GCACCCCAAGGGTTGCCGAGGTCAAACGGTCATAAGCTACTGCAAGACCGTTTCAGGCTGGACATAAGGAATTTCTTTACTGTCTGAGCCCCCAAGGTCTGGAACAGCCTGCCATCGGAGGTGATTCAAGCACCTACACTGAACACCGTCAAGAGAAAATTGGATGCTGGTCTTGCTGGGATCCTATAACCCCAGCTGACTTCCTGCCCTTCGGGCAGGGGGCTGGACTCAATGACCTTCTGAGGTCCCTTCCAGCCCTAAAAAAGTAACAAAAAAATTCTATTCAGCGCTGGTGAGGCAACATCTGGAGTACTGTGTCCAGTTTCCAGTCCCCCACTACAGAAAGGACATGGACAAATTGAAGTCCGGCAGAGGACAACAAAAACGATGAAGGGGCTGTGGGACATAGCTTATGAGAACAGGCTTGCAGAATTGGGCTTATTTAGTCTAGAGAAAAGAAGACTGAGGAGGGATTTAATAGCAACCCTTCAACTACCTGAAGGGGAGTTGAAAAGAAGATGGAGCTGGACTGTTCTCAGTGGTGGCAAATGACAAAAAATGAGCAACAGTCTCAAGTTGCAGCAAGGGAAGTTTAGGTTAGATATTAGGAAGAATTTTCTCACTAGGAGGGTAGTAAGACACTGGAATAGGTTACCCAAAGAGGTGATGGAAGCTCCATCCTTGGAGGCTTTCAAAACCCAGCTAGACAAAGCTTTGGCTGGGATGATCTAGTTAGGGGTAGTCCTGCTCTGAGCAGGCAGTTGAACTAGATGATCTCCTGAGGTCCCTTCCAACCCTCATTTTTTATGATTCTATGAACTGACTTTATCTATCTGTGGTTATACAAGTGGTAGCAAAACCAAATTAATAAAGTAGGTCAAAGAGTTTCTATTAGTAATTCCCAATTCACATTAAGTAACTTCTAATTAAGATATGTTCTAGTTCAAACCACATCCACCTTGATTTAAACACTCTAAGTAAGAATTCATCACATTCTTATGCAACTTGTTCTAATGGCTATTTACCTGCAGTCTTCAAATATCTGCATCTCATTTCTGCTCTAAGGGTATGACCAAACATATTTAACTGCTTTACTAAGGAAAGTGGAGCTATTGCTCAGGAGTATGTTTCAGCTGTTATATTGGTATGCTCCTGCAGCAATCCAAGTTATATCTAAACTAACATGGTTACCCTAATCAAAGCGGGTTAAAGTTTACCCTAATCAAAGCAGGTGAATGGTTTTGCTACACCTAAATCATAGAAGAACCACACAAACATAACCGGTTGCATCCAAGCATCTTATACTGGTACCCTCTGATGTCAACATACTTGTTACATCCATCTGTAACCTTAGATTACCTATCCTCAGCTCCCGGGCACTGGATCTCATTAGACTTGTGCACGTCATTAAAAATGCTACATGCGATGAAAAACCTTCTCACCATTTATACATGCAACAATTGCACTTGCTCTCCTTGCCATGCTATCACAACCAACTGAACATGAGCTCCCAGTGTAATCTGAATACTGAAACCTTTGAAGAACCTTTGATCAGGGGACTGCAGGGCAGGCCCTATGAGGAGAGACTACGGGACCTAAACCTGTTCAGCCTCCACAAGAGAAGGCTGAGGGGGGATCTTGTGGCCTGTTACACACTGGTCAGGGGGGATCAGAAGGCACTGGGGGTCACTGTTCCCCCGAGCACAGCCAGGAGTGACCAGGAACAACGGTCACAAGCTAGCAGAGGGTAGATTTAGGTTAGACATCAGAAGACACTATTTCACGGTCAGGGCGGCTAGGGTCTGGAACCAACTTCCAAGGGAGGTGGTGCAGGCTCCTACCCTGGGGGTTTTTAAGAAGAGGTTAGATGAACACCTTGCTGGGGTCGTTTGACCCCAGTACTCTTTCCTGCCATGGCGGGGGGTCAGACTAAATGATCTTCTCAGGTCCCTTCTGACCCTAGAAACTATGAAACTATGAAGAAGAGGTGTTGAACACACAGCCCACAGGCCATCTCTGTCCTGTTGAGCTTCCAGGGGGATCAGGAATTCCAGGGCAAGGTAAGCAGCAGCACCATTAACCCACACAGCTCCCTGAGCAGACAGATCTGTTGTGGCTGCTGGATCCAGATCTGGCCCAGAAGGGGCTTCCACAATAAAATCACTAATGACCTTGCATTTGGTTGTATATTATTTGAATGAGCTTGGTTTACCAAGTGATCCAGACAGCTCTACGTATACGACAGTATTCCTGTACCTGTATTAGAACTGCTTTTATAAAGAAGTAACAACCCTTCCTACTTCTACTTGAAGCGTACTTTATTGTCATAAGAAGTCAGCATATCTAGAACAGACTTAGAATTCTATCTTCCCTCTTCAGTACGCCTCAACTCTACCATCAAAAAGAAGCGCCAGAGCAGAAGATGGCCAAAAACAGCAATGCAAAACTGAATCCATGCTTCGGATATCTCAAGAGAGGTAATGTGTTCACAGAGAACAGGTTTTTGTAGCTTAACTCCCCTGGGAAAGTATGTGGAACCTGCAACTGCATAAGTGGACAATAAATCAAGCAAATGCTCTAGTACCAGGTGGAATCTCTCTTCCTGCTACTTGTAAAGTTTCCACCGAGTCTTCAGCCTACTTACCTGCATTACACTGAGTGTCTCTGCTTGTTGCATTTTGCTAAGGATCGCTCTCAATATCTGGTCCAGGTTCTCTCCCAGCTCACTTCCTGCTTTGGAAATCAGTGTGGAGACCAGTCTGCCCACGAAAGCAGCTGTGAACTCAGAGGTCCGCGGATCCAGAAGTTGGCTCACTACCTGCATTACATACCACAGCCCATTGTGGCCTTGCTCATCATGCCATTGTGCAATCTGTTCTAATGCTACTGAGACATATGCACGTAGACACTCACCACCATTCTGAAAACGAGAGAGAGAGAGAGAGTTGTCATTAAGACTGTCATTGACCATACTGCAGACTCCCAAACAAACAAGAACATCCATTCACTACACCAGAAAGCACCCTAAATAAGAACAGCTAAACGTGACACCTTGTTAAATATTTAATTCTTATTGAATATGCTGCAAAAATGACCACCGATAGAAAGAGAATGATTTAATAAGTTATACACATTGCTATGTTCAGGCAGCTCTGTATAGGTACACTTGGTAAAAATAAAGATAACCTCAAGTGCTTATATCTGCCATTCTATACCAGTAGCCTGGTATTCAAATACATTATGAGGGATTCTGACCACCTAAAGACCACAGTAGCCAGGAGTGCAACATGATATGAACATGGTCAAATGAATCCTATAATAAAGCTGGACTTTCTGTATTTGTTTAAACAAAAAGAGTGCAGTGCCACAATACAGCATGCAGTGTTTTACCTCATTCTCACTAAAGTGCTGCCAAAATTTATGTTTGGCAATAAGAAAGGGCAGATGGAACCAAAGAACTGCTTCTCTCCATTTTGAAGATTAGGTGGATAATTGAGCTTCTAATTTTAACTAAAAATCTTGTTTTAAAAGTGGAAAGGCTCAGAGAGCTCTCTCTCAAACCTGGAAGTCCCACTTGCTTAAAGCTATGGCATGAACAAGGATCAGCAGAGAATGCCAACAGGCAGAAAACAGAATGTGTTTTCTGGTACTACAGATAACATTTCCTTTCTCTTCTTCCACCCAAAGATTGGGATTTTGGTAGAGTGGAAAAGGAAGGAAACACGGACTAATAGCAGTGACCAGGGAGGAAGCATTCACCACTCACAGAATTAGCTGCACTAAGCAGTAATTCTGAAGCAATCAGGATTTAACAGTAGACAGTGAAATCTGCCCTGAACACCCCCATCCCCCTAACTGGAGCCAGAAAGACATGGCTTTCCTCCAGTTATTTTCTTCTGGCTGCCAGTGAGCAAAGTTTGGTTTCCCTCTAGGCAGAGTGAACCCCCAAAAGACTAGGTTATGGTATGATGTCAAGTGATTGACCTGGGTTATCCACCACCTTGAACTAATGTGACCCTGCACTCCCTCAGCTCCATCCCTACAGATGTTACCTGCATGGTAGCATTGTCGTCTGTGTTCAGGCTGCACTGAGCCACTGCAGGGAATGCTTGGCAAATCAAGAGCTGGGACAGAGGTGATTTTGTATTCCTCACAACTGTGGTTAATATATCAATAGAAGTCTGAAAGGGCAAAGAGAACACTTTTAAAAAACAGCAGCAACAGTGCAGTAACTCAGCATTTCCCAAGGTTTGTGGAGCACCTTCAAAGGCTTCCCTGGAAATGTAGAGGGAACACAGAACTGACTCAACAGGTTCCTCTATCCTGCCTTGCTAACATGACAAAGCTGAAGAGACTGTTGAAGAGAACTCAACTTCCAAAAGTCTGGGAAAAGCTATTGTTATTAATGAATGTAGGGGACCACTGCTTATTAGAGTCACTGTAGAAACAGCAGTCTTGGAGAGATCAAAATAGCATATTTCTACATCACTAAATTTCTGTTGTCAGTTAACCACGTCCTACAGCTGCAGCATTTTCCTTCTGCAAGCAGCACATTAATTCTGCAAGAAGTGAATGCCTGCATTCAAACAGCTGGTAATATTTACACCATTCTTTTCCAGGAAACCGAGTTTTGGGGTGACTAATTCATCCATTTCACAGGACTCCACAGCCCATGATGTTTCCTTGTCAGCCACGTCAGGTTGGCATAATCATTCAGATTTGAATCCAGTTGTTCAGTTGTCATACCGGATGCACATTATACCCATCAAAATGGGATTTTACATACTAGGAAGCAGAGTGTATTAGCCTGATGGAACAGCAAACTACCATGGCTGTCCCACTTCTGGTACTCAACGTAACTCATTCACATATAGTTATATTTCTACACAGCACTGAGTGATACCCCTGGTGCTAGTACACCTCAAAAACGCAACTTTCCGGAATCCTTATACCACCAGTAAGCATAGAACTGATTCCTCTTCCAGTTAATTCAAGTGTTAATTTAACATCAGAAGGCAATGGAAGGTATATTTATGCATTTCCCAAACTATTTCACTCTACGTTCTTCCATTTAGTTTATAAAGAGCTCATAAAAAGATTAGTATCTACTAATGCAGGGGTGGGCAATAATTTGGGCTGGTGGGCCACACGGAGTTTTGAAGAGCTGTCATGGGCCCCTGCACAACAGCTCACTAAACCTCCCTATGCAAGATGGGGCCACAGCTGGGTGGGAAGCTGGCATGGGTGCGAGTGGGCTGGCACAGGCACTGATGGCAACAGTGGCAGAGAAGTGCCACAAGGTAGTCCTGGCACAGACTCCAGATCCTGCTTCTTCCCACCACCATCCATCATGCCCATAGCAGGTGGGTCTGAAGCGGGTGCTGCGGGTACCCTAATCCCCCTTCTGGGGTGGGCTGGGGCCATGCACTCAGCCTAAGGCTTGGGCCTTGCCTACACAGACCCCAAGGAGAAGCTGGAGCCACTACCCGGCTTCAGTGGTAGCAGCCCAGGCACAGAGATGGTGGCAGCTCCTTCCAACTGCTACCACTGCCAGCCCCAATCCCAGTCCTGTTGAGATCCACTGGGACCTGCGTAGGTAGGGCCCAAGCCCTGGGCTGAGTGCACAGTCCCAGCCTGCCCTGTGTTTTGGGGGGGGGGGGGGGTTAAGGCCCCTGTAGCACCCACTCTGGCCCTGCCCACCC